GTGAGATCTCTCCCATGTCCCCCATAGTTTTCTCTAATCTTGACCTGTTGAAATAACTGTATCAACTTCACTATTTAGCCCCTTCACTGGAACAGTAATGTAACAAACAGCAGACAGCTATTATACCTTAGCCAGGCAGAAAACAAATCAGCCAGGCTGTGAACTAAGAAACCAAGACAAGTTCAGACAGGGCTCGGGCAGGCAATCCACCTTACCGCTCTCGGGTATCTTCCCTCCCCTTCTGCAGGAGGTTTCTGCCCCCCAGCAGGGCTGAGGGAAGGAAAGGCGCCCGCGACTGCGACGCGCAGGCGATGGGGGCAGGAGCCCAGAGCCTTCGGCAAACCCTGCTACAGGAGCTGGAATACCCAAGGAGAGGCAGACGAGTGGGGCAAAAGGGAATATCTGAAACTGCTGCAGCTTTCTTCCTTACGTCTGAGTCAAAGGCCTTAGCTCCGCTATTTTGTGTTTTAGTTTCTCTCGGAGAACACTTTGATGATTTAAGCTAATTTAAAGCTATATTGACAATGAAAGGAAAGCCTCACCCTTATCAAACACCTGGTCCTGCCAAGTGCCTGTGTGAACACAGGCACTCAGGCAGCCACAGAGTGAGTCTGGCCAAGGGGATCCAGCTGAAAGGTAACCATGCAAACAGCAGCAGCAAACACGTTGTTTGCAGATGCATCAGTGAACTACGGCTACTCGCCACACATGCGGATAGTGACAGGAGCTGCAGACAGGAACTCACAGATAATCAAAAGGAAGAGAAGGCAGGAGAGATCGCAGGTTTTAGCGTCCTCAGTCTTGGTCAGCTTGAGCTGAACACAAATGAGCAGTAGAAAAAGGTGACAAAAGCTTCAAGTGTTGAAAGTGCAAACGCACAAAAGAAAAACTAATTATCTGTCTAAGTGATGATGTAAATGATGTAGGGACAAGGCTCACTAGTCTGCAATTTTCCTCTTTAGGAAAAAAAAATAAAAAAGGCAGTATTTGCTCTTATATTACTTCTACTAAGAACAGCTTCTAATGAAAAATGTTACGCATTTTGTACAGCCTGATTACTTTTTCATTTTAATTCAGTAATAATTCCTGAATGAACAACATGTTTACCTGACAATTTGCTTTGCTGCTGCTTAACTGATTGTTCCGTCAATCTCCCTCACATCTCTTGCTTAAAATGGGCACCAGCAACCCAGTAACCAGGGCAGATTTGAAGAACACACAGAAGTGCCAGTGTCAGCTTGGTAGGAACAAAACTTCCAAGGGAGATAGGGCTCCTGAATCCCAGCTCCAGGCACTTTTCTAACTCAGCACTTCAGATTATGAGAAAGCCCAGCAGCACAACGCACCCGAGCAAAGCAGGAGCTCGGAGGAAGCTGGCCCTGGGGGCCATACCTCACACAAACGCCTCTTTCCAGGTGCAGTAGTTCCCACCTCTGAGCTTGGGATTCAAAAGAAATACAGAATACATTTACACACAGAATAAAGGCAATGTGACATAACTTGGCGTGCTTGTGCAATCTTGTTTCGTATGATTTTGAAGAAGTCATGAATGAATGATAGGTTGCGACACTATTTTCCGGGCCACTGAGACCAATGCAGAGCATTTAACCCATTCATACAATATATTTAATCCTGTTCAGACAATTATCAAACTACATTTTACTATTAAGTCGTTCTCCTCTAATTATGCCTCTTATAACAGTTAGAAGGAATTATAGCATATTATCTAAACCCAAATCACAGATTTTATGAGGAAAAAAAAAAGGATAATGCAATGACTTTGAAAACATCAGGCAATCAGGCACTACATCAAATGCAAAATCAGCATGTGGTTTGGATGCTACTTGCACTCCAAGTAACTGTGTGTTGCTGTCTGAAGGGTTGGTCCTTCCCTCTCCTTCCAAATCCTGTTATGCTTCTGCAAGGCTTTTTGGGTCCCATTTGGCAACTGAACGAGCACATGATGAGCTGGGTCAATGAACGGACATGACAGAAAACTAACTCAAAAAGAAAAAAGAAACAAAACAATGTAACAAATAAATAATTTTCTGCTGGATCAATTCCAACTGATTGAAGGTCAACTGAAGAATCACAAGGCCCACTGCAAGGGAAAGCAATATGCAGCTGGCAATAGAAGGGACACTGACCTTTTCAGGATTAGCCCCCAGTTACAACGGTTTAACTGTGCTATTAGATATGCACAACACAGTTCCATGGTAAGATTAGCACCTTGTGCACTGTAAACTGTACAAATGTATTTCATGGTGCGCTCTGCATATTTTCCATACTTTTCTCATTTTGTACCTTTTAGGAGTCAAATTCTGTTTGGAAAAATTTTAATTTTCCCATAATATTCTGTATAACTTAATAAAGATCAGTGAACACCTTGCTACCTCTAAATCAAGATATGATCTCTCCATTTTTTTTTCAAAATTTCATATGAATTTCGAATTTCCATTTTAATATCATTGTTAGCTTAAGTTCTTTCATGCCTTCCCTACAACTATTTCCTCTCATAGACTGTAATATAAAGCTTATGCCGTTATCAATGAATACTCTATTGTTGGCACATTTAAAAAATGTTCTCAAGACTCCAAATAAGCCTTCCACCCATTTCCACTGTTTCTTCAGATAACCCAGTTACAGTTTTCCATTCTAGCATTCTAAATAGTAATCATTAAGAGAATGTCGTCATTTTGACTCCAATGACTAACGTCTCTATAGCTGTTATATTTTCCTAGGTTTCCTCTTTTGCCATGTTCCCGAAATCCACTCTTTTTTCATGGTAAATCTATTTAAGATTATAAATATAATATGACAAAACATGAAACAGTGGCTTTATGCCTATACTTAGCGTCAATCAGCTGGGCTATTCTTCCTTCTTTTTTCTAAGACTTCCAATTTGTTAGGTATTTTTAATAGCCTGTTGTATCGTTTCTGTAATAGCGATTTGCTTTCTTTCAAAATGATGCGTTATCTGCAGACAGTTTCCTAGATGTGATGACAGCAATTCCCATTTCTAAGCATAGATTTTAGAAAACAGAAGGTAAAACAGAAGGCAATCTACTGATATTTAATTTCAAGCTCTATTCCATACAAGTTCTCTCAAACCTCTTATTACCTCACATTTAAAACTAATTTTACAGAGACTGTTTAAGTCACAACACACATCACAGAAGGCTTTAAATTGCTACTTTCAGCCATCACTGCTCAGGTCTGTGCCTGTGAATATCTCAAAAGCAAACTAATCCTGATTGTTCTTACGATGCAGGGCATTAGGATTTTATTTTATATCTAGTCGCATCTCTTGCAACTCTTGGTTTAATCAATTCCTGCTTTGGGAGATGGAAAAAATAGCCTAAAACACAGGTAACAGGCAAAGAAAGAACTGCTGAAGATTGGTGAAGAACAGAAGAGTTGCAAGCGTATGAGAAGAAGCAATGAATGAATGAGAAGTCCGTCTATTGGGCTGACATAAAATGGTTCTAAGTATACAGCAGGAGGCCACTAAGCCTGACATTTATTGATCTAATTCAGGAATTAAAGCTTGACTCAAAATATAAAACAATATAAGAAAAATTTTAAAACAAACAAACAAACAAAAAACCCAAGATTTTAAAGTCTTGGCCAACCATTAACAATACATAACACTGAAAGGTGATGAAGCCGCTGTTAACTCGTAGTCACTTTTATAAATTGGAGATAGATCCTCAAATCAGTAGTAAAAGGTAAGAGCTGTTAAAATATCTAAAAGAACTTAAATGTCATTATGAAATGAGTCAAACTCAAACAACATACAGAGGAAAAAGGCATATGCCCGATTTTCAGCCCATGATAGAATAGAACAGAATCTACAGGAAGGGAAGGGTCTTTTCAGTGGTCTTTTGTAGTCCAATTTGGTATTCAAGCACACACACTGTTAAATTGCATAGAGGAAAGCATGTACACTAAATCCTTAGTCTTGACATCAGGAGTACCAAAAACCTGAAATTATCTTTACTAGGCTTGGCAAAATAGTCAGCTAGAAATTATAACAAACTTGGAACTAAATATGCTGTAAGAGACCTGGATCATTTGGTAATTTTCATAATTGATAATTTTCACCAAACTAGAAAAGCAATTAATTTTATTTTAGAGAAAGGTATATAGAGATTGAAAGACAGATATAGATACATTTGCTCAGTCCTTTGACACTTAAGAATACTTACCAGTTAAGGAAACAAGACAATAAACTATGAATGTAAGATGAGAAATAAAAACGCCCTGATATAAAAAAAAGATCATGTTCAAGGCATGAAAGAAATGCCTTTTTTAAAAAAAGTATCAAATATAGCTAAACATATTTGATAAAGACCTCTAAAACACACATAAACCTGTCTGTCATATAGGCTGGGTCAGTGCGAGTAGTCCTGAGACAAACGTCAATCAGCTGCAGCATAAAATATGTAGGCCTTTCCTGTTGATATATACTTCATCATGAAGGTGTTAAGTGCAACTTTTTATGGTACTTAACTACCCATCAATGCCTTCTTCCCCCATAAATGATTGGGATTTTTTTCTCTGAGCAGGGCTAGCTCTGATTCATTTGAGCTGTTCTGCAAAACAGCAACACTAACAAAACAAACAAAAACTCCACAGTCATTAAAAAATGATTCATAACTTTGCAAAATAAATTCTTGTAAAGACCAAAGGTAAAGGAAAAAAAGATCGTAAAAAAGATCGCTAAAGCCAGGGACTGAATGTATACTTAGCTTCCTTAATAACTGGTCGTATTATAATAAAAAAATAATAATAATAATAACTGAACTTCTAAAAACTGTCATTATTGTCTGTTTCAGAGTCACTTTAGGATCTCCTTTTGAATACTCAGTCAAACTGTCTGGGTGATTTTCTGGTTCCAACCAGACATTCACAAATATGTGAATAACTACATCTATATAAAACATTTGTCTTGCCACTCTACAGTAAGCGGGAAAATCAGAGAACTGTTTTGTACATACCAAAGCACCATTCTCACAGGTCCAAGCACTTGGATCAGATTCAAGTCTACTGATACAAACCACGAATCTTTCTGGGAATACACGTAGCTCTGTGCAAAAACAATTGAAAAGAAGATTACAAAAAATGAAATGCATATATTCAAAGACACATAATGACAATATATGCATTATTTTTGTAAAAAAGTATATGTGTATATATATATATATTTTAGCAATATATGCATTATTTTTGTAAAAAGTATATGTGTGTATATATATATATATTTTTTAACTACAGAAGAACTCATTTGTTCTACTCCACTACTGAGAACTTTATTACCTTCTTTCTTCAACATCTCATCCCTGGTTTGGGTCTCTGCCTTTTTAAAACATTCAATAATCACTAAGTGAGAGTAAGTCCAGTCCTCAAGAGGACAGCCCTGGGAGCCAATTAGTCCATCCAAGCCCCTGGACAAATTAACCACTAAGAACCACAGAGAAACAATTTAAGGTGCTATCTTCATATATCTGGAAGTGGTTTCCAGACAGCTTTTTCCATCACAGCTGCTTTACTGTTTGGAAGCCAGTATGCTCTGCTTTTGAGGGAGGCATTTCAAGTCTTGATGTTACAAACAAAGCAAGTGTGAAAGGCTCATATTCCCAAACAAGCTGAGGTAGTTTAACAAGCTATTGTGGTATTTAAGCTGCAGCTCTGGTCTCTCTGTGGACACTCTCTTAGCTAATGGGAATTGCAAGCTAATATGTATCAACATGGCCATGATGCCAGATGCTAGAGAAATGGGCAGAGAAGAACCTCATAAAGTGTAACCAAGGGAAGTGCGAGTCTCACGCCGGGGGAGGAATAACCTCATGCATCAGCACTGAATGGGGCTCAACTCACTGCAAAGCAGCTTCCCAGCAAGGACCTGGGGGTTCTCATGGACACCAAGTTGATCATGAGGCAGCAATATGCCCTGTCAGAAAACGTGGCCAACAACACCCAGAGCTGCGGAATGGTTGAAGTTGGAAGGGACCTCCAGAGATCATCTAGTCCAACCCCCCTGCTCCAGCAGGGACACCCAGAACACATGGCACAAGGTGGCATCCAGGCGGGTTTGGAAGATCTCCAGAGAAGGAGCCTCCACAACCTCTCTGGGCAGCCTGTTCCAGGGCTCTGTCACCCTCACAGGAAAGAAGTTCTTCCTCACATGGAGGTGGAACTTCCTGTGTTTCAATCTGCAGCTGTTACCCCTTGTCCTGTCGCTGGCCACTGCCGAGGAGAGTTTTGCCCTGCATTAGGAAGAACATGATCGGCAGGCAGAGGAAGGTTCTCCTCTCTTCAGACCTGGTGAGATTCTATCTGGACCACATCCAGTTATGTAGGAGACAGGGACATAAAGGAGCAAGTCCAGTATGGACATAGTGGAGCCACAAATAAAGTTAAGAGATCAGAGAATCTGTAATATGAGGAAAAGCTGGGATTGCTTAAGAAGGGGAATTTTATCAATCTGTCCATGATGGAGGGTGTAAAAAAAAGTGACCCATCTCTTTTCAGCAGTATCCAGTAAAGAGACAAGAAACAATGAGCACAAACTGGGCAAGAAATTTCCTTTAAAGAAAAGACTTCTTTATTATAAGGATTATCAAGCACTGGAAAACACTGCTCATTAAGCTCCTCTGGCTAGAAAATCCAGTTTTCAGGAAGCTGAGTTTTGACTGAAGACTTAAAGTCTCTCTTTTCGGCCACAGTAGTAAAGCAAGTTAATTCTAGCTAGTTGCTTTTATTGTTATATTTTATAATAATCTCACTTGCTGGCTAATAAAATAAATGTATCTTTAGGCATTCACTGATGCTTAAAGAAAGTTAAGATATAATACTTAGAAAAGAATGTTGAAACAGCATCACAGGCTTTCTGTTATTCTAACCTAATTACTCTTTCAGCAGGCAAGAAAAACAAGTTTGACAAAATATTTAAAATCAACACTATAATCTCTTTAATCACTACCCATTTAGAAAAAAATAGTTGATATGAAGAGATTTAAACATTCATGAATATAAATTCCTGTTAAAAAAAAAAAAGAAATTACAAAAAGGTTTCCATTCAAGGAACCATATTTTTAACGCCACTTAGTTGATTTACTAGTCTTCTTTCATATAAAAAAATCCACAAAAAGGGCAGTGATTGTTAAAGCTCCTTTTTTATTGTTGTTGGCAGGATGGGATTGATATCACTTCCTTACAGAACATCTTGGCCTGAGAAAACATGAAAAAAGACCTGATCCAATGACATCACTTATGTAAAGATTTTATAACACTGGGCCGAATGAAAGCTTTTTCTTGCATACACTTGTACCATACAGTTGATGTCACAAGACACTCGAGCAACAATGAAGTGATTCATACTGCAACCTCTGGTTGATTCATCCTGCAGAAACTCAGCAAAATGCTGAGTCTCATCATACTTACAGATTTTGGTGTGGCTTAGCTGATTACCCTGAGGCGAGGCACACAAAATTTTAAATTAAGTTAAAAAAAGAAATCTATCATATGTTAAGAAACGCTTCTAATTTTAGCGAACATCCTCTAGAAAAACAAAACAAAAGCAAATCCTAAAATAATTTTGATTAAGTATAGCAAGAAAAACCTAACAAAAGTATTAGTTTATAATCTCCTTGTTTTCTATTACAAATGCCACATTATGAGCAACATCATAAGAAACCAGTCTCTTACCACGATATTGTTTCCCCACAGCACAATGAAGATTGACCCATCTCTTCATAAACTGGGCAGCAATGTGAAAACGGTTGCCTGCTACATAAAACAAAAGTGATAATAGTAAGTGCAAGGGTATCTTGTGCATTCTGGTCTCAAAATGTTGCATATCTACAAAAATAGGACTGCTGAAGAGAGAAAAAAGCAACAGCTTATGAATACAAAAAAATACCACAACTTCAAAGGAATGTTTTAAAATAAGAACTATGTACCTTTAAGTCTGAAGAAATAAGTATCTAGAAGGGGGGAAAACCTAAATAATTTCCTTACGGCAAGGTTTAGGTATTCAATCACAGAAATATATTTAAATTGATTAACTGATCATAGAAGATGTCTCATCAATAGCCCTGGGGGCTAAACACCTAGTCACTAATATACTTTTACACAAATGCTACATGAAGACTACAGATGACCATTCCTTAATTGTTTTCTAGAGAAATGTCATAACTCCTAGTAAGCAAAATGCTTAAAAATGTCTTAATTGTTTATTGTATTGAATTAAGTGAAAAATGCAAACATTCAGAAATGTCAATACCTACAAATACACAGAGTCATACTGGCTGGCCCAGCAGATATCTGTAACATTTCTAGAGGCTTCTTCTTGAGTTCCCTTTCCTGAGAACAATAGAAATCCTTATGCTCCAGGAGCATCAGAAAAGGCCAGAAAGGATTATTTTATGTTAAGTAACTATGAAGCCTACTTAAATTCCCAGTGGACCCTGAGTAAACCAGATTCAGAAAGGTACTTAGGAACCTAAGAAATTCAAAGAAGTTTGAATCTGTGAGTCCTCCTCCACAGTTTCCCTCTACATATCACTACAAAAAAACAAACAAGAATTATAAAGACAGTTAGTGAGATTGGCCCCAACTATTCAACGGTTTGCAAGTCTTAATATTTCCCCTAGCTCTTTAGGGGATTGCAAGTTTTAACATATTGTTCCTTCCAAGACAGACATTCTAGCTGCAAAAACTACAGACGAGTTTAAAAATGAAGCGGCACTGTTGTTCTTCTAACCGTTTAAAGGAAGTAAGGAAAGACCCTGTGCCCCAGGCTCAATCTCTGCTAAGCAAGTGCCAAGTACAAGGATATTTCCAAGTCCAAGCCTGAAGCTGCACGTCCGCTCCTGCACAGACTGCTCTCCTACTCGTACAAGATCTCCTGGAGCTCCCCATTAATGGATGTTCTACAGCATCATCTCGCCTTAAGTACTACAGTTATTGATCACAATCAATCCTTTGATATTTATCAGCCATCTTTTTTCCTTCCCCTCAGGAAGATCGCCTTTATCAACTGTATATTTATGAACACAACTAAAGAAAATTACTTCTAGCTATTTCCAATTTGGCATCCACAGTTCTTCAACCCTCTTAATAGGGTAAACAAAATCTAGGAATTTGCCCTTTATTGAAACAAATTATTAGTGTAATTATAGTGTCTTCCACTTGACCTCCATAATGCTAGAAAAGTAACATTCATAGACAACACAATTTTGCAAACAAATTTCCAGAGAGAATCATATTAAGAGAGTCTTTCCTCTCTTAATAGGTCTAAGATATTTCCAAAGCGTTCTTCTTCAGTAAGCCTTAAAATAAAAAAGGGTAAGTCTTGTGCTTTTCACAGGGAAAAACATGATACTTCACTCCTGAAATTCTTTTAAGAAACTAGTGATATATCTTTAGTTTGCTTGCTCTCCTATTGTTTTTAATCACATTGGATTGACTAATGGCCTGAACAAAGTTAGAAATTCCTATTGAAGAATCTTGATTCAGCTAATTCCTGTTCTCTGGGGTAGAGCAGCTCCCTTAAATCTAACCAAATAAACAATACATGCATACATGAGTGACCTGGAGAGCTTGACGCTAATTCTGCAGAGACACCTCAAATCTGAAAGCACTACAGAGCCTTCACAGGGTGTTGTACCTGAGAATAAGCTCTGCCCAGAGGGACTAACACTAGGAGAGTTTCAGTTTCGATGACTATTTACCGCTAGACTTTGTTGAAAAGCTGGAACAGATGCATTGCTATAATTGTGAGAAAATGTTACATTGCGTTACATTCAAAATATCCATACTTTAAAACTAACACACAGCCATGTTTATTGAACGTATTTAAACTCTTGTGTGAAACCTAAATCAGCCCCTAAAGTCACCTGGATTTTGCAGAACTTGCCCATAGCTTTGAGACTGTCAGAGTTACTGCAGCACTATGAAAGCTGCCACATTCATTTTCTGCTTTGACTGAGTGAAAGGTTTTGTTCAGTTAACCATTCTTCTTCATAACACAAGAGCAAGCCTCACAAGAGCAGCTCCTCATCTGCACCTTGCAGTTTTTTAAACTTTCTGTACAGCTAATGAGCATGAGCCTGAATTAGTTCCCAAAACCAGCCTTGTCGACCATCCACATTGTTCATACACAGGGAAGAGGGCCAGTGTCGGCTCGGCTCGGACCAAACGCTACGGGAAGCGAGGAACAAGCGGGGAGCCTCCAGCAGGCCGGTGCCAGCCCCTTCCAAGCCGCCCGTAGCAACCCACGCCGCGCTGCAGCCCCGCAGAAAGGAAGCTCGCGCACCTTCGGCTCGGCAAGCCCCGCAGCCAAAGCTGGAATTTCATCTTCGCCATGCAGCACCGGCATAACTCCCTATGCAGATGGCCAACGTAGGCAGAAATAATGTTTCTGCGAGCATTTATTTTCTACTTTTTCCAGAACTGTGCATCTAAATCAACAGATCAAAAAGTGAGCCCCTGGAACCCGGCACGTGACTTAACAAAAGCAGTTCTAGAGAGGCTGCAGTTCGGTTTCAGCTGTAACATGCACCGGTGAGTAATGCCTTTTAAGGGAATGGTAATTTGCCCTGCTTGTTACATTTCATGGTCCCAAGACACTGAGGGGAAGTATCAGACGCTGACTTTTCACTGTAAAACTATCCAGCAACACTTGTTTGCCGAAGGAGTTACAGCCAAGTTGACTTGAGCTTTCCAAAGGCTGCCAAGAGAGGGCTGTGGTAGAGATCCCAGCAGTGGGAAGCCCTCTCCCACGGCTATTAGCGACCAGTGAGCTGGGAGCCTGGGAAAATGCCTCTGAGCAGCAGAGTTATCTGCAGCAGCCTGGCAGGTGTTCGCTTCCCAGCACAGTCTGGCACCTGCCTGGCTCTGAGCTCTGCAGAGGCTTCTCCAACCCCACTGCCAGCCTGCGAAGGCCTGGTGCCCCACAAACAGGTCCCTGCTGGGCACACACCTATTTTATTTTATTTTTAAATATCAGCATTTCTTTATACCGCTCTAAAAAAATCCTTTTTTTCCAACAGTCCAGATATTATACATCTCTGACAGATTATTCCCGATTAGGACCATCTCTATGTGTCTGCAGTAAATCCTTGTAACTCACACATCCTGAAAATGGAAGATGAATGTGCTATGTTAAACTGGGAAAGTAAACATATAGACATTTTGAAATATTAGAATAAAACAAAATCTGAATGTTGCTTATGCTAGTTTAATTATTGCACACAGAGTAAACTAGAATGGTAATAATGTTTACAGTATAGAGGGCTTTTCATCTTCAAAGTACTCTACAGACATATTATTATGATGCTTTTTAGCGGTCATATTTCTCCATTTAGAATTACAAACCAACAAATTCCTGATCATTGTTTGTTACCTGAAAAATAAAAGAAACAGATGCAACCACAACACCACACACACAAAAAAAACCTAAACAAAACAAAAGAGAGGCCTACTGCTAATTGCGCAGCCTTCCCTCCCCAAAACGACTGGACATATTCACCTCACCTGCTCCAGCTAGCTCAGCCTAATCTAGATGAGATCCCAAGCCAAACGCTGGTGTCCAGGCGCCGCTCTACGCGCCCTGCCCAGCAGGAGGTGGCAGGCACAACGCAAGAAGCTGTCGAGACTCCTTGCGCCTTTTCTGGTCCTTTGCAGAGGTATCAAGGTAGGGCACTTTCTCGAATTAATTTTTTAATCTGTTTTCTAAAACTGTATCATTCAAAGCGACAGTTACGTTAAATGCATAGGAATATGTAGGTAGACTTTAAGTGAAACTTAAAAAGGTCGATTCCATCCATTACATTTATAAACATAAAACGTGTAACTTAAAAGTGAAACTTAAGTGAAACTTAAAAAGGTCCATTACATTTATAAACATAAAACGTGAATAGGAAAAAACACTTGGGTGCAGTACTGATTTCTGTATGAATATGCATATATTAGTGCATGTGTCTGTTAGGAAGGAGGACAGGTAAGCTAAAGGCATTTAATGCAGCACTGTAGGTGTGGTTTTGCATGCACAAATTAAAGGTCTTCCCTGGTACAGTTCTATCAAATGCTAAATCATGCTGCACATATGCAGGGTCTGATCTTAACAACTTTTATAGCTATAAATAAGTTTAATGATGTAATTGGTTTCTATCTCTTCCAGGAGATAACTCTCCTTACTCTTCCCCTTAACAAATTTATTATTTTTAGTGCCCTTCTGCTATTAGCTAAGTCTTCTGAACACAAGTCAGTTGCACTCCTTACAAATCAAAGTCACTTTGAGCACAAAGACCTCACTGTGATGTGGAAAAGTGCCTTTCAGAGTTTAACAAACGTGACTGCTTCCCTTTACTGCTCATTGGAACAACATTATCATAGGTGCTAATACTACAGTGCTAAAAAGACTTTCAAATGAAGGCAAACAAACCCTTCATGGGCCTGCAGACAATTTTTCCCCTGGCAATTGAAAATAGCTTCTGCAAAAGCTTTCCTGAGAGAAAAGGATACTAAAACTCCAGCTCCCAAAGCTGACAAGACTTCCATCTTCTACCCATAACAGGAAGTCTAGGCAAGGGTCACTAAAAATGTCAGGAAGAAGCTTTGAACAGGTGGAAAACTGTATATTGTATCTCATGGCTAGAAAACCTATGGGTTCAGGGGGAGGTCTGCCCCTAAATGTGCTGGGAGAAAAAGCGAGGGAAGGAAGAGCTAGTACAAGTATTCCCAGCAGAACTTTAGAAGGATGGCATGTGAGAAGGTACAGT